GAGTTGGCCAACTAACGTCCAAAAGGGCATATGTAGACCAAAAGTTGGACGACGAGGGTATAAATGGACCAAACTTTAAACGAAGGGTATATCTAAACCTTTTCAAATAGTTTAGGGAAATATTTGACCCTTTTCCCTTTATTTTTTTGTTTTTTCTGGAAATAAAAACTAGATTAATAAGCATCAGTCTTTTTTGTGTGGGGTCCAATAGTTGAACGTTGTGGCAGGTAAGGGGTGGGGCAGTTATAAACTTATAACTGAAAACAACGGATACACCATATATATTCTTTCTTTTCCTTTGTAGATGAGGATGAGTGGGATCCATGTTATGTTTTCCAACTGCTTCATAATTTCATTTCAATTACAATCATTATATCTAGGATTTATTTGACCATATATATATATATATATATATATATATATATGAAAACGGTGATGTAGCACTCTCACAGGGCTGAATTCCCTTTTTTTTAGTTTTTTTTCTGATTTTGAAAGACATAATTTCACTCTAAAATATTTATATAACATTAATGATAATCATATTTAATGTCTTTCATCATCAATGCTATTAATTCCTTTTTCCTAAAACTTTTCAACTTTCTGCTAAATGCTTCACCATTGCACCTAATTTTTTTTGTTATAGTGCTAGTAAATAAAAGTAATAAAGAGTAAATTGCAACCGTTTTAATTTCTTCAGCTGTTATAGTTTTGTCTATATATGTCTTTTCTTTTGGAATTTTAATTATATTTTATTCAATGTAATCAAAATTTGTAGGTAAATAATAATATTAGTTTATTTTGGAATTTCAACTATTTCTATTTAGTTTTATCTTTGGTATTTGCAGGCAAATAGGTGCAAGAGGAAAATGTACGTAATTTTTGGTAAGTAAAATTATGTGCACCTTTTATTCCTTGTAAATCTGCTTTGTTCCCACTTTCAAGTATTTGTTATTGTTTTTGTCAAACATCCTGATGGCTACCTATTTGATATCCTCCCGACTGAGTTATTTTGCCAAGTAATCATTGTGTGGATGATCTTGAACGCTTTATCAAATTCTATGGGAAGGTGATTTCTCTTAGTTATATTTGCTCCTTTTTTAAAAAATTCTGAAATTGTATATACAAATATAATTTAATTATTTTTCAATATATACAATATAGTTAAAGAAGAGTTGATGAGAGTTCTCTGCTCCTCTTTTTCAAGACTTTTTATATAATATTACCTATTATAAATTTATAGAATGTATATGGAAGTGTTGATTGATTTTTTTTAAAAAAGCACGAAGATGATTTTGCACAAAATTTATAATAAAATGGGGATTTGACAAAAAATTTAGGCGAAATGAAGATAGAGAAATTAAAAAATATAAATACAAGATAAAGTGAAAATGGCTAAGTGAAATTTTTTAAAGGAGAGAGATTTTGAATCACTTTAACAAAAAAGGACGGAATGGAAATGGTTTGAAAATTAAAAAGGAAACAAGTTACGTTTTTACAGAATACCCCATTTTATATCCATCATATACATTCACTTGGGCCAAGATTTGTGTTTTACTAATTAAGTATTAGAAACTTTCACATAGAAACACTTAAAAATAATTAATTACTTTTCATAGCTATAGTTTATTAATTACAATTTGTAACTACATGATATATCGAGGAGAGAGGCGAGCGAGACTGGGAGAGAGAAGGGAGAGGCAAGAGAGAGGGGAAAAAGAGTGGGATAAAGGTGAATCGTATATATATATTGGTTAGATAATTGTATATTATATATATGTATTTGTATATATGACAAGAGAGATTGGGAGAGGGAGGAGAGAGGGTAGCGAGACTGGGAGAGAGAGGAGAGAGGCGAGCGAGATTGAGAGAGGAAGGAGAGAGACTATAGAGAGAGGGCATAGAATGGGAGAGAGGTGAATTATATATGTATATAACTGTATGTTATACATATACATTTGTATAAATAGCAAGCGAGATTGGGAGTGGGAGGAGAGAGGCGAGCGAGATTGAGAGATGGAGGAGAGAGGGATGAGAGTGGAGAGATCATAATTGTATATGTATATAGGTTTAAAAAATTGTATATTATACATATGTATTTGTATATCGTGGTGAATTATATATATACAAACATAACTAATCATACAAACTCAAAGTCAGCAAACTATAGCTATGATGAATAATTAAATAGTATAAGTTTGCTTAGCCATATAATTTTCTCATTTAAGTATTACTATTCCTTATTACTTGCCTTATATTTTTTTTTTGCTTTTCAATTTGTCTTTTTATTTTTTTAAAATTAACCAAACTGAAAAGAAAATTGTAATATAACCTCCTTTATTATATTAAAGAACAAAATCATGTACAAATATACATTCCTACATGTATAAATTTACGGGAAAAAAAGATTATAATACGAAAATAAGTGATTTCACTTGAAATTATATATTTAGTGAAGGTAACATAATGATGAAAACTAAAGGAAATAAATTTGAATTGTCTTCTTTACAGAAAAAGAATGGTACGAAAGTGTGATATTGCTACTAGACTGATGAATTTTAAAACTTCGACCATCAAATATAAATAAATCATGAATCTACCTCTCATTATTATGATACTTTATATTTTCAATAGGTTATATTATGCTTTTTATTTTTTTTAATATAAATTTTGTTATATAGATTTAAGTTGAAATTGTAACGATGTATTCTAATTTATTTGTTTTAAAGTAAAATCGAAGATGTTTTAGCTGTTGCAACTATTTATTTTAATATTTAAAATTTGAAGAATTATAAGGAACAAAAAGTATCATGTACATAAGTTTTTAATAATAGCACGAAGTACGAATTTGTTCACTAGTATATGTATTATTCAAAACTTAAGAAAACTTTGGAAATCGTGTTGAGCATATATAACTTATCATCACTTTGATAAATATATTTCATGTTGGGCATATAATTTTTAAATACAAAAAGAATCAGTATTTGGTCAAGTTCTAATATTTAAGAGTTTATAAAAGTTAAAAAAATTATTCGAACTTTTATATTTTATAAAGAGCATCCATTATTTATTAATTTCCACTAATATTTATCTACCAAATTATTACATAAATAACTAATAATAAGATTAAGAAAAAAGAACAAGACATATATTAAATACACTATTAAAGTTGTTCCATATTTGCATAAAGACACCTTAACATAACTATTTAATATCTTTGTAAATAGGCCATTTGACCCATTCACTCGTTTGGGTTGTTACCACGCACATGAGATGCGTCATGCAGTGTTGCCATGAACCAGTTTAAAAGTGTCACATGTCATTTTCTTTCTTCATTATTAATTAATTTAATCAATTTATATCATCTTCCCCAAATTTAAACCCAAAATAGCCGTTGGTGGCCCTAATTTTTTTGATTTCATGGTTTTTCCAAAGCAAGATCAACGTTGGTGCTCTCTGTTTGACAACTTCATCATCTTTCCCAAGAAAATAAGGTAGGAATTCATTTTACCTTTTGATTTCCAGTAAAAAGCATTAATTTGAAGTTTTTTATGGTTTAATTTCTTCTCAATTTTGCGATTAGGTTTTCATTGAAAATTTCTAATGCAATGTTGAATCGTATTTGTAATGATGAGAATGATTCGATGTTGCGAGTAAAATTGCAATGCAAACATGGTGACTTACAATTAGTGCAAACTTCATGGTCGGAGCATAATCCAACTCAAAGAGTTTGGTCTTGTCCACGCTATCGTGTATGTTTCCTAATTCATTTATGGAAATCTTTTGTTTATGTATTTTTCTTTCATTTTTTTTTCCGTATTTTAGGAGGATGCATGCAACTTCTTTAGATGGAGGGATCACGAAGAAGTTGAATACAATGCAAGTACGTTATTTTGAGATTAGGAAAGAGAATTAAGGAGTTGGAAGAAGTATTGACATTTTATGAAAGCCGTATTGAAAGTAACCAAGACGTGATGAAGGAGAAAATAAGAGCAAATATTATAACTTGAAGCTAATTGTCTTGATCAATATTGTGTGTTTTCTATTTTCAAGTCTAACAAAAAATGTGAAGGATGAAAGTTGTAGGTGTGTGCAACCAAATTTTCCTTAAACATCTTTAAATACTTTCAAGTTTTTGAAGTCATAAGTGTGTGTAACTAGAAAGTAATTGTCTTGATCTTGCTAGCTGTAGGTGTATGTAACTTGAATAATGGAAGTTGTAGAATGCTCAAGTTTTTATTGGTCTTTGTTGTCGAAATAGTTATGATTTGAACAAGTTGTTAATATATTTGTTTCTCTTGTCTATATTATTCTGGTAACTATTTGAGAAACTTAAAAAATATGTTCAACTACAAGTAAAAAGGCAACAATAAAATGACCAAAAAGAGGACTTCATTGCAACATAATCATTCAAGTTGTGTTTGATTACACACAAAATTGAGTTTGATTCCAACCAAAAAAAACACCAAAATATACATATTAAATTTTGTTTGTCAAAATAAACAAGACAACATCAAAATGCCCTACTTCCATGGAACAAGAGTCTTCCTAATTGAAGTTGTTTGGCTTTGACTATTAACAGTAGCAGCTGCTGCAAACCTAGTTTGTATAACCTTTTCAGCCCTCATTATTTCTAGGTTGCTACTAGTAATAGTTGTTTCCCCTTCCATTTGAATTCACGTACTGGTGTGTAGCAGATATCACCCGTAACAATATCAACCCTCTTTGTCACTCTTGTACCAGTATTTATGACTCTTCTACTTTGGCAATCCAGGCTGCTTAGTCAAACTAATACAAATTCAATTAAAAGACATTTAGGCTTGCATTGACAATTGTAAACTTACATTGAGAGTTGTAAATCCATCTTTAGCTTGGTATATGCCAACGCCTACCATTATTGGTTTTTCAAAAGGTCTTGTTTGTCCTTCACTGGGGTCCTCATGTTCTACTGGTTTCCTCCCTCTTTGTAGGCCTCTTCCATTGTAGGTTGCTTCATAACTAGTTTGACTATGTTGATCCATTCCTCTTTCTCTACCTAGTCCTTTATTAACATTTCTTTATTGAGGCATTCCTCTTCCTCTACATGTTCCTGCTCCTCCTCTACCTCTTCCCCTCCCTCTACCATTTGTAGTATGTACTTTGAAACCAAAATATTAAAACATATTTATATTTTCTAAATGATACAATAATTAGATATATTACCTTTGTTTTTGTAGCAATTCCATGTGATTGAGTTGGAACACCAATAGAACTTGAAGGAGCTCTTTCTGTGCCTCTTCCTCTACCACTTTCATTATTTGTGGTTGACTGCGAAGAAGGTCTAGGTGGTTGAGTTGAACTACTAGACCTTGCTCTTCCTCCTCCTGCTTAAATACATATACATGTACATATAATTTACATTTGAAAGTAACAAATAAAAGTATCTGTGTCTGAGAAGATGGTTCAGCTGACTGAATTGTACTAGTACCTCTTGCCTCAGAAGATGATTCAGTTTATTGGCTTGGACCAATTTGGTTTCTTGTATTACATCCTCTTTTATTTGTCCTTGTGTACCACATTTTCTACAATTCATAACAACACCTCTTTTGCTAAGCTTTCCAATTTTTCCTGCTTTCATCTACTTTTCTTCTAACCTTACTTGGTCTTCCAGACAACTTCTTGATCTTTGGTGGCTTTACAATTGGATTATTTGATATTGAACACATTTTCATGTTATTCATTGGCAGAATAAAATGGACATATGTGCTGAGGTATGTTTCCTTGCTATAACAACTAGCCACATAATTGATTGGTTCCAAATCCTTGTAATAAAGGGAAGCAACACCATGAGGACAAGAAATGCCCCTGAGCTGGCAAGAGCTGCAACTAAAACTCCTACTAACAATGTCCACAGTATGTGTAAATCCATGGTGTTTAATATTAAAACCTCTATCTCCATTCCAACCAAGTTAATTGCACAAACTTTCCAATATTTTCTTGCAAAATCTTCAAAGACATATATATCAGTGATCTAAGCGTTTGAGAACTCTCTCAAATTACCAATTCTTTTCATCATTTTCACCCTTATCTCCTCAAGCATTGTGATGATTTTTTATACCCTGTAGGCAATATCCAAGAACTAAAGCTTTCTTCCATATTGTTGTCCACAACATCACATTTGCTATAGTCTTGATAATACGTTGTGCACATTTCCTGTATATTATCCTTTAACTCAGCTTCAAATGTGGATTTATCAATCCTTCAAAATATTCTTCTTTTTTCAACTGCTTTCTAGTTTTTACAACAATTTGTTGTCTTGCACATTTTCTGTGTTCAACCAGTGATAATACATTTTCAACAACAATTTCTAGTCCCTAACAAACCAACATAACATAAAAAGAATAATTAAAATGCAAAACTCAACAATAATAAAACAGTATGATCATTCTTCAAGGTCAAGAATAATTACCTTTTGGGCATCAGTAATGATGGATAGTTGATGCCCTTCTCTAAGGTCGAGATCATCATTCACTAGTTCAAGAAACCATGTCCAGGTAAACTGATTGTCAACCTCAATAACTGCTAAAATAATAGGCAACATTTGGTTGTTTGCATGTCTACAAACTGCCACTAACAACTGGACTTTATACACATATTTGAGAAAACACCCATGAATCAATCAATCTCCTAACACCTCCAAAAATGCTTGTTTAAAGCAGTAAAGCAAAAATAAAATCCTTCAAAAATTTTCTGCCCAAATTCATCTTCTTCTCCAACTTTCACTACACAAGTACTACCTGTATTACTCATTAAAAATTCATTTTTATAATAAAGAATCTTACCATACTCTGCAATGTGATAACCCATGATATATTGTAACGCTCTAGTCTTAGCTCTTCTCACTGTTTTCCTACCAACATTAATATCCAACTCCTTTCTAATAATGTCCTGCAACAACAAAATGCTGATGCTTGGTTGTTGAGTTATTCTTTCTTTGTATTTGGTGGCTAAAAACTTTGAGTTGCAAATATAGTTATGACTTGATGTCTAACATTTATGAATATGGTTGTATCTTTTAAAAATGAAATCTCTGGTAGTTTTATCCTTACTTGCACACAATAGCCATAGACAAGTCTTTTTATAACATCTCACTCTAACTTTGCCAGGTTCATTCACATATTTTTCAATTTGAATATGTTCTTGGACTGCATATCTTGTCACTGCCCTCTAAATTTTACAACAGTTCCAAAACCAGGCATAATTCCCATTAATCTATTCAGAAGTTGCATTAAACACAACTTTATTTGGGGTTTTCTTCCTCCTAACAAGTTTATGCACTACTTGATCAACCTCTTCACCATCTCCCCCACATGTTTCATCATATATTTCAAAGCTAGGAGCTTATAACTTAGATAGTAAGGTTCATCAACTCCTAGATTACCAGTTAAGCTTTCCCTAATATCAATATTTGTCTCATCATACCCTATATCTTGACCTTTTCCATAAACATTAATCTGATCCGAAGTAGTACTAACTTTCTATTGTGACATATTGAAATGCCTCTTGGTTTGCCTTATATCTATATACTCTTGATGGACATCACTGTCAATCTTAGTGTCTTCATTAGTATACCCTTTAGATCCTGATTCATCTTCCACTTCATCATCAGTTGGATCATTATTTATTATAGGATCAAATGAAGGTATAGAGGAAGGAGAAGGCACAACATAAGGAGAGGGTGGATGCACAATGGAAGAAGGAGGCACAATAGAAGAAGATGGCGGAGGCACAACGGAAGAAGGAGGCACGTAGAAGGAGATGGTGGAGAACAATAGAAGAAGGAGATGGTGGAGGCATAATAGTAGACTCAATTTACAAATGGAGTGCTGGACGTTTCATAAGGACCAGTCGTAGGGTTGGAAGGAAAAGTAGAAGTAGGAGGCTGATTATTAGGATTAGAAGCCTCATTAAAAGATTCCTCACCTACCCCACTATCACTTACATTGGGGACAAACTCCAATTCAAGTGGGGCCTGATTAGATTTACTAACCATATGAAGAATTTACACCTCAATTGCATCCCCAACATTTATCATATTGAAAAGGTCAAATATTATCTTATCATTATCAAAAAAGACTAATAACCCATCCCACTTGATGAAAGAATCTACTGTATATCTTTGTTCCTTTATGTAGTCCTTGAACTCAAAATAAAACATCCTATCAACATCTACATCTAGGAATTCTGTCACATGCCCCCAATATATTTATGTGGAGGAACAAAATCGATTACCCCCATATACCATCTTAAAGTTATCAGAGTAAAAGTCATCCTGAAAAAACATGTAACAAAGACAAACACAATTTAAACACACATTTCAAGAACAAACTCTAACAAGCTATACACAACAAACATAATCACCAACAAACAAAAGTAGCAGAAACACTAACTAACAAGAGTAGAAAAAACACTAACAGTAGCAGTAGCTCTAACATTTAGCTCCATCACTAACAGAACAAAAGACTTGCAATCAAATTGATTATGTACAAATGGAAGTCTACAAATGTATATGAGACAAATAATAAGATTCAAAATAAGTGGATTACATCAAACCATAACATAAAACACAATCACTAATAGTCGCACTAAGTTGATAACACAAAACGTTAATCACTAACAGTTGCACTAAGTCAATAACACAAAAAAACCCTAACCCTAACAATAAGAAACTATAGTAGGTCGATCCCAAAACTTTTACACTATAATAATCCTTAGATTTTAGGGGAAGTTGATAAATAATACAACCTAACACAAAATGATATTATCAACATCAACACGACGAGAAAACTTTTCTATTTCTTTAGATTTTTTGGAAAGTTGAGAAATAAGAAAATAAAAGGAGAAGACAACTTTTATTCAAAGAACGGGGTGGGGAAAATTGAATTCTATCATACAGGGTGAGAAACACACGTGATTACATAGACGAGGGAATGGGTCAAAATGATCCATTTACAAATACATTAAATAGTTTGGTGGGGGTAGTTGCCGGTTTGAAAATTAAGGTGTCTTTATGCAAATACGGGATAACTTTGTTGGTGTATTTATGTCTTCTCTTTTTGTTTTTAGTGATTTATAATTCATTTTGAATCAGTGACAAGTTTGAGTATGCGATTAATGTATCTCTATCACAACCCAATTCATTGGTCCTTCCGACACCTACTCTACCACCTAGATAGAAGAATCCTCAACCCCGGAAGTGATTATAATAGAAAAATAAACAA